GGAACCAGCCGAAGGAAGAGGCGCGGACAACGTCTCCCTTTTTTTGGTTGTTATGAGCCAAGTCTTTTTTACTAAATATATGTACTTAAATTAAAGGTGAGTACAACATTTAGATTAATGCAATTATTTTATTTAAAAACGAGAAAAAACGAAAATTGAAATGGAGTGTAAGATTTAAGTAAAAACAAAAGAAAAATTTAAATAAAAACGGTAAAATAAAGTTATAATAAATACAGTTATTTAATTTTTATTACCGTTTAGAATGAATGTTATATAATGATTTTAGAGAGAAATAATCGAGTCTTTCCTCATTACCCCTTATAGTTTAATGCACTCCAGCAACGTATGAGAGTCTGCGGACGAACTTCCTTTGAATATTTTCCAATCGTTAAATATCGTATTGATAAGTGGGATATATTTTACGCGGTAGAACCATGCTGCAATTATATTAGCAGTATAGTTGTAGCAGGAACGGCTCGGCTCGACCGGTGGGGAAGAACCACGTTCTTACGGAATACCTTTTTACTATAAACGAGGTATTCCATCTTAGTCCTTACAGGTGACAACGCACCTGTATTTTGATTCGTAATCGAGGATAAATGTGGATGTCTATGGGCCACAGCAACCACTTACCATCAGGTGGGCTGTGTGCTCGTTTGACACTCTTATCCTGTAAAAAATACATTACAAAAATATTCTACATTACAGCGAACTAATGAAAAATAAAGAGTCTTTATTGCAATGACTGATTTAAATTCTCTGGTATTTCGCGGCATAATAGAAATCATCTTCAGGCTTTTATTTACAACTGCATCAAGGGATTGTCTTCTGTATCGATCAATGCTGCGGTGCACAATATGGTGAGTGTAGAAAATCGGAGACTCTTTCTACTGGAAAAGAGGCATTCCGTATTTGTCCTTAGTGGTGACAACGTATCTGCATTTTGATTCTTAATCGAGGATAGATGTAGATGTCTACGGGCCACAGCATCCACTTACCATCAGGTGAACTGTGTGCTCGTTTGTCACTCTTAAGCGGGCTACATACGAGACGATATCGGTGGCGATCTAGGGTGGAAAGAAATCGGGGCTTTTATCGAGGCAGACCCTACACACGGGCCTGCCTAGCAGTACGCGTTTGGACTTGGAGCGGAACGCATATGCGGTAGAGTTCTTCAAAATACCTCCGACTCTCTTAAAACACCAACGTGTTGGTTTGGAATTAGCCCTCTCGGTTAATTTATTCGAAAATAGAAAAAGAGGAGTTGCTGGGTGAGAAAATGGCTCCAAAAGAGAAAAAAATTAAGCCACATAAACGTACTAAATGGTCTGTAATCCAAAGACATGATTAATTTTCTCCGGATGGATGAAGACAGTTCGAAACAAACCTTCCAGAATTTTTTTATATTCATGATTTCGCAACTTATATAAAAACATCAATTTCTCCTACCTATGCTATTTAGTTATTTCTTCTCTTTGTTCATTTCTGCTTTGGCCAAAATCGGGTTATGTACTACACACAACAAACAAGAAATAAAATGCTTTTGTATAATAATATATATACTTTTTTAATGTAATCTTAATTTGTGGATTAAAACTATCAAAAAATAAAATAGCTTATATCTTTTTTTTTAAACATAAAGAAATCTTTAATTTCAGACATACTACCTTCTATATAGCAAATTCTATATAACAAAAGTAATTAAATAATAATATACCTATATAAGTTGGCAAACTCTAAATTTGCGCAATCCTCTGGATTTATACTTATCCTTGTCTTACATATACACCATTTCACACTAGCATTAAACTGTCTTTATCTAATACATTGGTATGACTTATGGGTGATTAAAACTTTGAAATACTTTATACATAAAACAATCAAAAGTGCAAAAAAACGAATAGAACGTTCTTAATTATTTATTTATATCGTATTACATAGCCGTTTACCATGTAAAGCATGAATCTAAGCTACCTTTCTTTACTCAGAAATTAGCATTTAATAAAAATTAATTAGTCCTCAAATTCTTTAAGAAATATTTAAAGAATTAATGAGATGTTTATCTCGCATCGCCAACAATAGTGTTATAAGGTTATAAGTAAATATAGCTAAAAAGCTTCATATGTGCTTAGTTGGTAAGTTTAAATAAATTAATAAATTAATAAAAAATAATATCGGTGTAAATAACTCCAAAGCTACCCCATATCGTCCCGTGGGTGTCGTAGGGAAACAAACTAGGAGGTGGGTGGAAGCGTCTTGCTACAACTTGAAGAAACTGTTGCAAGCCCACCTGGCAAGCGTGGCAGCTGTAGAACAAGTGCCCCTTATGTGGCAATCTATGGGGAGGCCTTTGTCCAGCAGTGAACTTGATAGGCTGCTATGTACAAATGTTCTAAAATTTAGTAAAACATTTAAAAATGATCGCAATTTTTAAAATTTACCTAACGAATGAAAATGTAGAACAATAGGCGTCATTAAGTGGTTTCGATTTTCCTAATTCAAATGGTCGAGCAAGGAAAGAAGGCGATTATTAAATCAAGTCGTTACAAATTGATTTGTGTTCGTGAATATAATAAGCGATAATTTCGTTTGTGAAAATATTACTGGTTAGTAATAAAAAAAATTACAAACATATTTAAAAAAAGAATATGCTACATATTTCTTTTTAATTACTTGCGCACATACAGTTCAATATTTCGAAGACATGTGAAGTTCGTCAACACGCATTTGGGCAGCGCGGCGGACACTTCCTTGCCCTAAACCCTCTCAGAAATGAGGGGAGATCCGAGCCCAGCACTGGGACGTATATAGGCTGTAACTTTACTTTTAACTTTATACAGTTCAATAGGATTTACTGTGATGTGCAGTGTCATAACCATGGTTTAATATATTATTATTGCATTTTATGATAATAATTAATTAATTATTAATATTAAGTTATGTAACCTTATATTGATACCCCTAATTACAGCAATGTATAGATAGTGTAAAATTTTTTAATTTCGGTTAATAAAAGAAAATTCATAATAGGGTATAAAATATTACTATCTTTTGTAACACATAAAATGACGTTATAAACCAAATTTTTCTCGAAGTTTGCATATCCGCTTACATATCTAGATGTTAGTTTTAGTGTTCGTGAAAACCACCCCCTCACAATGTGTCGCGCTCGCCCACGGGCGCCCGATTAAAAATGGACAAAACGTTACTAGGGATCTTAACATTATAACAGCTTCTACTAATTTGGTATATAGGTAACCTAATTTTTGTGTGCAGTGATAATTTTTTACCAAGTTGTCCGATTTCAATTTTTTTTGTTGGTAGGTACCCCCTACCTTAGTGGTTGCCCATATAAATACCTCTACGAGATTATGCTTCAATGATGGAATCCAGCCACAATATTCAAATTCTTGAATTTCCAATGGCATCTTCACCACACGTAAGAAAAATTTCCGGGACAGAGCGGCTTAGAATTAAGTTAGGCGCTGAAATGCGCGGGCTCGTTCCGAACAAATAATTTTATGACATACAAATAATTATTCTGGGTCTGGATGTTTATCCTTGTGCAATTTATGTATGTAAACTGCATCCACGATACACGACCAAAATCTATGTAATGCTTTTTTTATCTTCCGCATATCAACAACTTTCGATGATTATATAATTTTTGTTCTTGTGTAGTTGATTTCACTTTCTTTAACAGTTTGTAGAGACTAAATGCACGCAAGCAAAGCGGCGCGAAAATATAGCATTATAATTATGATATTTTAATTAATAACTACTATATAAATATTTTTTAACTCTTAAATGCATTATCCACACTGTTCAAGTGAACATCTGAAATTTAAGGCATCTGGTTTGAGAGGAGCAAAAAAATTACAAAAGGGTCCGCTACCGGTCAATTAGTGATGTCTGCGAGGCTGGGACCCCACCTGCGGTACTGTTGAGTGTTCATTCTTTATATCTTGCTTATGCGTATAATGCAGTAATATGAGCTAAATGGGCTACAAAGGTCTTAATCTAGACATATTATGAAATTATATTTTACAGTACGCTGGCAACCCGGGTCCAATCCCAGCTGGCATCAATAAAATTATTAATTGCAATTTTAAGTGCTGATATACCACGCTCTTAGCGCTAAAGGAAAAGACCGCGAGGAAACCTGCATGAGTAAGACATAAAAAAAACTCGAAAGCATGTGAAATCTGTCAAACGCCAATGCGTTCAAAGGCAGCGCGGCGGACGCTTTTTAGCCCTAAAACCTCTTAGAAGTGAGAGGAGACTTGTGCCCAGCAAATTTACTTTACCTATTATCATAGGAGCTTCTCCTGCAACTGCAACGTGGAGGTGGTTTAACATAATCTTAGGTCATAGAAATACTTGATCCGTACGAAATTTAAACTCTTGAGATGGGTCTATGCTATACGAGACGTGCACGAGCGCAGCATGTGTCGAGCACAAATTCATGTAGTGTGGACCGACTTACAAGTCTCGAACGAGTGCGCTTCGAGCGTTTGGTTCATGCTCGACTGTGCTCCGCCTATTGTCGGTTTTTTTGACGAACACTAAGGGATTTGCATCGCATGCATTGTCCACACTCGACACCGCGGGTAGAGCTGTTAGCTTGTGTCCAGCTCGTGCTCGGTTCCTCTAGCGTAGACCCACCTATCCAATTCGAACACGTTGCCCGCGGCGGTTGTCTTAACCACTGCGCTGAAGAGGTAAAAGTCATTTAAAAATGTTCTTGTAGCATGATTAAAGTTGTCCTCGTGAGTCTTTAAAGAGACCACTGTCGTACTTTGGACTTTTGCATACTACAGTAATCGCTACATTTGGTTAGCTTAGCCTTAGATGATGCATTCGTCACTTATGCAGAGCCCACGAAATCTATCGGAAAATTTCTTTAGTCAGCTCCTACGACATCCATGGGATAATACCCTCTTATGCTGCAACATACGGTAAAATAATGTCTTATTTCTAATTAATCATGTTGTTTAAGGATGACTATGTCAAAAGAGCAACGTTATAAGAGAAAAATTACTAAAGGAAAACCACAACCCTACGCATTGCACTCAGTTAATTCGCAGATAGGTTTGTGTGGATAAAATGATAGTTGGACATCTAACAAGTAGGTAATCATACGTGGTAGAGTCACGCAGCAGCTATATCGTAATTACAAGATTAACACAATACAAGGTTCTAGGCAATTGATTCAGCTAACTTAGATCGTCACATAACCTAGTGGCGGACCTGCCAACAGTCAGTTTATATTTTATTATTCTTCTTCTAAATGATAATGTCCTAGTCCTAGTAAAATCCTAGTGTGTGTGTAACACACTAGGATTTTTCCCTGTATCGTGGAGGAAGCTTACATACATAAATTGCACAACGACAAACATCCATACCTAAAACAACTATTCGTAGCCCATACAATTACTTATTAAAGGGGTATGAAAGTGAACGCAAGTAAGACGAAGCTTATGGTTTTTGAAAGAGAAGAAAGTAAAACGGTTTGTGAAATAAGAATAGAAGGGGGAGTTGATCGAGCAAGTAGACGAGTTTGTATATTTGGGCTGCGAATTTACCAGGGATGGGAGATATGATAAGGATATAGAACGACGAGTGAATGCGGGAAATAGAGTAAATGGGGCCCTACACTATATTGTAAAGAGTCAAAATGTGTCGAAAAGGCACGCACAAACACTCACGCCTGTCACCCAGAGGGGTAGGCAGAGACTACAGACTTCCATTTGGCACGATCCTGACACACCTCTCTCACCTCCTTCACATCCATACACCTACGCATACATGCTCGTCGGTTAAGGGTACTCCTAATTTGGCCCGTTTTTAATAAATCGCCAATTTGGTCGATAAATTTTCGACCAGGACGTCCCTTTCCGACTCTGCCATTCACTTCTACAACATAAATTTTCTTTGTCACTCTTTCCTCATTCATTCTTTCCACATGACCAAACCACCGTAGCATTCCTTTCTTAATCCTGGTCACAACATCATCTTGCAAACCACACTCTTCTCTTATTACACAATTTCTTACCCTGTCGTTCAGATTCAGCCCTAACATAATCCTTAAGGACCGCATTTCTACTGCGTTGATTCTACTCTCCTGCTTCTTCTGCCACACCCAACTTTCACTACCATACGTTAAAGTAGGGACCAACACAGCATTGTGAATTGCCATACGTGCCTTTTTTGACACATTTTGACTCTTCACAATAGAGTGCAGGGCCCCATTTACTCTATTTATTTGTATAAATATATGTATACAAATAATTGTCCTTGTGAAAATTATGTATGACAAAATCCTAGTGTGGGGCTGTAACGTTAAAAAACTGTCAGTCGTACTCGGACTGTGCGTCAGAAGTATAAACCTCTGAGCTTCACAAACTTGTAAAAATTAGTTTTAAATTGTCACCTCACCATTTTCAAATTTTTTTACGTAAGTTATCACTACAGAAACAAAAAAAAAAATGGCTACATACGATAGAACTTAATAAAATAGCCCAAAACTCCTTGTGACGGTTTCTAATCTTTATTGAAACACTCCGCTTCACATTTGAGTTCCACCCATGCTGTTCATTTCGCACTTATCTGCGGTCAAGCAACCGTCCTATCATAACAAGACGTTTGATGAAATACAGTCGTATAGAAAAGTTAATCCACTTTGTTACATCAATTTGAGTGTTGGGCCGAGCCTCTAGATGTAGATGATTCTTTTCCTCTTTAGTTTAACTAAAATAACTAAAATGAAGTAAAACAGATTTACAGACTCATACTGCCTAGAACAATCATTTTATAGTGAAATCAATTAGTGTTAGGACTTCAATAAAACTTGAACTAGATGGGATGATGAAACTCATAAATATCCATAAAATACAGCGTTGTTTTACAATTTTTTTGTTTTAGTATTGAATTTGTTTTATTTAAAAATAATATTATGTGAGTATGCATGTTAATTTAATTCAATTAAAACTGAAACAAAAGCTATTTTTTATCAAAAAAAAAAAACCTGTAAACATTAGGGACAAGTAGTAAACTAGTAATACTAGTTAATCCAAACTCTTGGCGCAGCAAAATTGTTAAATAAGGGTGGCACTATTGGAAGCAACCGCCCACTGGATAGGAACCAGTCGTTAGTAAAGCCACGTGGTGGCTCAGCAAAATTGTTAAATAAGGGTGGCACTATTGGAAGCAACCGCCCATTGGATAGGAACCAGTCGTTAGTAGAGCCACGTGGTGGCGCAGCAAAATTGTTAAATAAGGGTGGCACTATTGGAAGCAACCGCCCACTGGATAGGAACCAGTCGTTAGTAAAGCCACGTGGTGGCTCAGCAAAATTGTTAAATAATTGTGGCACTATTGGAAGCAACCGCCCACTGGATAGGAACCAGTCGTTAGTAGAGCCACGTGGTGGCGCAGCAAAATTGTTAAATAAGGGTGGCACTATTGGAAGCAACCGCCCACTGGATAGGAACCAGTCGTTAGTAAAGCCACGTGGTGGCTCAGCAAAATTGTTAAATAAGTGTGGCACTATTGGAAGCAACCGCCCACTGGATAGGAACCAGTCGTTAGTAAAGCCACGTGGTGGCTCAGCAAAATTGTTAAATAAGTGTGGCACTATTGGAAGCAACCGCCCACTGGATAGGAACCAGTCGTTAGTAGAGCCACGTGGTGGCGCAGCAAAATTGTTAAATAAGGGTGGCACTATTGGAAGCAACCGCCCACTGGATAAGAACCAGTCGTTAGTAGAGCCACGTGGTGGCGCAGCAAAATTGTTAAATAAGGGTGGCACTATTGGAAGCAACCGCCCACTGGATAGGAACCAGTCGTTAGTAGAGCCACGTGGTGGCGCAGCAAAATTGTTAAATAAGGGTGGCACTATTGGAAGCAACCGCCCACTGGATAAGAACCAGTCGTTAGTAGAGCCACGTGGTGGCGCAGCAAAATTGTTAAATAAGGGTGGCACCATTGGAAGCAACCGCCCACTGGATAGGAACCAGTCGTTAGTAGAGCCACGTGGTGGCGCAGCAAAATTGTTAAATAAGGGTGGCACTATTGGAAGCAACCGCCCACTGGATAGGAACCAGTCGTTAGTAAAGCCACGTGGTGGCGCAGCAAAATTGTTAAATAAGGGTGGCACTATTGGAAGCAACCGCTCACTGGATAGGAACCAGTCGTTAGTAAAGCCACGTGGTGGCGCAGCAAAATTGTTAAATAAGGGTGGCACTATTGGAAGCAACCGCCCACTGGATAGGAACCAGTCGTTAGTAAAGCCACGTGGTGGCGCAGCAAAATTGTTAAATAAGGGTGGCACTATTGGAAGCAACCGCCCACTGGATAAGAACCAGTCGTTAGTAGAGCCACGTGGTGGTGCAGCAAAATTGTTAAATAAGGGTGGCACTATTGGAAGCAACCGCCCACTGGATAGGAACCAGTCGTTAGTTAAAGCCACGTGGTGGCTCAGCAAAATTGTTAAATAAGGGTGGCACTATTGGAAGCAACCGCACACTGGATAGGAACCAGTCGTTAGTAGAGCCACGTGGTGGCGCAGCAAAATTGTTAAATAAGGGTGGCACTATTGGAAGCAACCGCCCACTGGATAAGAACCAGTCGTTAGTAGAGCCACGTGGTGGCGCAGCAAAATTGTTAAATAAGGGTGGCACTATTGGAAGCAACCGCCCACTGGATAGGAACCAGTCGTTAGTAGAGCCACGTGGTGGCGCAGCAAAATTGTTAAATAAGGGTGGCACTATTGGAAGCAACCGCCCACTGGATAAGAACCAGTCGTTAGTAGAGCCACGTGGTGGCGCAGCAAAATTGTTAAATAAGGGTGGCACCATTGGAAGCAACCGCCCACTGGATAGGAACCAGTCGTTAGTAGAGCCACGTGGTGGCGCAGCAAAATTGTTAAATAAGGGTGGCACTATTGGAAGCAACCGCCCACTGGATAGGAACCAGTCGTTAGTAAAGCCACGTGGTGGCGCAGCAAAATTGTTAAATAAGGGTGGCACTATTGGAAGCAACCGCTCACTGGATAGGAACCAGTCGTTAGTAAAGCCACGTGGTGGCGCAGCAAAATTGTTAAATAAGGGTGGCACTATTGGAAGCAACCGCCCACTGGATAGGAACCAGTCGTTAGTAAAGCCACGTGGTGGCGCAGCAAAATTGTTAAATAAGGGTGGCACTATTGGAAGCAACCGCCCACTGGATAAGAACCAGTCGTTAGTAGAGCCACGTGGTGGTGCAGCAAAATTGTTAAATAAGGGTGGCACTATTGGAAGCAACCGCCCACTGGATAGGAACCAGTCGTTAGTAAAGCCACGTGGTGGCTCAGCAAAATTGTTAAATAAGGGTGGCACTATTGGAAGCAACCGCACACTGGATAGGAACCAGTCGTTAGTAGAGCCACGTGGTGGCGCAGCAAAATTGTTAAATAAGGGTGGCACTATTGGAAGCAACCGCCCACTGGATAGGAACCAGTCGTTAGTAAAGCCACGTGGTGGCGCAGCAAAATTGTTAAATAAGGGTGGCACTATTGGAAGCAACCGCCCACTGGATAGGAACCAGTCGTTAGTAGAGCCACGTGGTGGCGCAGCAAAATTGTTAAATAAGGGTGGCACTATTGGAAGCAACCGCCCACTGGATAGGAACCAGTTCGTTAGTAAAGCCACGTGGTGGCTCAGCAAAATTGTTAAATAAGGGTGGCACTATTGGAAGCAACCGCACACTGGATAGGAACCAGTCGTTAGTAGAGCCACGTGGTGGCGCAGCAAAATTGTTAAATAAGGGTGGCACTATTGGAAGCAACCGCCCACTGGATAGGAACCAGTCGTTAGTAAAGCCACGTGGTGGCTCAGCAAAATTGTTAAATAAGGGTGGCACTATTGGAAGCAACCGCCCACTGGATAGGAACCAGTCGTTAGTAGAGCCACGTGGTGGCGCAGCAAAATTGTTAAATAAGGGTGGCACTATTGGAAGCAACCGCCCACTGGATAGGAACCAGTCGTTAGTAAAGCCACGTGGTGGCGCAGCAAAATTGTTAAATAAGGGTGGCACTATTGGAAGCAACCGCCCACTGGATAGGAACCAGTCGTTAGTAAAGTCACGTGGTGGCGCAGCAAAATTGTTAAATAAGGGTGGCAGTATTGGAAGCAACCGCCCACTGGATAGGAACCAGTCGTTAGTAAAGTCACGTGGTGGAGCAGCAAAATTGTTAAATAAGGGTGGCACTATTGGAAGCAACCGCCCGCTGGATAAGAACCAGTCGTTAGTAAAGCCACGTGGTGGCGCAGCAAAATTGTTAAATAAGGGTGGCACTATTGGAAGCAACCGCCCACTGGATAGGAACCAGTCGTTAGTAAAGCCACGTGGTGGCGCAGCAAAATTGTTAAATAAGTGTGGCACTATTGGAAGCAACCGCCCACTGGATAGGAACCAGTCGTTAGTAAAGTCACGTGGTGGCGCAGCAAAATTGTTAAATAAGGGTGGCAGTATTGGAAGCAACCGTCCACTGAATAGGAACCAGTCGTTAGTAAAGTCACGTGGTGGCGCAGCAAAATTGTTAAATAAGGGTGGCACTATTGGAAGCAACCGCCCACTGGATAAGAACCAGTCGTTAGTAAAGCCACGTGGTGGCGCAGCAAAATTGTTAAATAAGGGTGGCACTATTGGAAGCAACCGCCCACTAGATAGGAAGCAGTCGTTAGTAAAGCCACGTGGTGCCAAGCTCACGACACCCACGGCACGATATGGGGCAGTGGATATTCTTACACTGCCACTACACGGTTAGTATTTTTATTGTTGTCATCAGGAATATGCTGTCCGTGTTCTGCTTCAGTCTCCCTCTGCCGCCTCTCACGACACCCACGGTACGATATGGGGCAGTGGATATTCTCACACCGCCACTACACGGTTAGTATTTTTATTGTTGTCATCAGGAACATGCTGTCCGTGTTCTGCTTCAGTCTCCCTCTGCCGCCTCTCACGACACCCACGACAGGATATGGGGCAGTGGATATTTTCACACCGCCACTACACGGTTAGTATTTTTTATTGTTGTCATCAGGAACATGCTGTCCGTGTTCTGCTTCAGTCTCCCTCTGTCGCCTCTCACGACACCCACGGCAGGATATGGGGCAGTGGATATTCTCACACCGCCACTACACGGTTAGTATTTTTATTGTTGTCATCAGGAACATGCTGTCCGTGTTCTGCTTCAGTCTCCCTCTGCCGCCTCTCACGACACCCACGGCAGGATATGGGGCAGTGGATATTCTCACACCGCCACTACAAGGTTAGTATTTTTATTGTTGTCATCAGGAACATGCTGTCCGTGTTCTGCTTCAGTCTCCCTCTGTCGCCTCTCACGACGCCCACGGCAGGATATGGGGCAGTGGATATTCTCACACCGCCACTACACGGTTAGTATTTTTATTGTTGTCATCAGGAACATGCTGTCCGTGTTTTGCTTCAGTCTCCCTCTGCCGCCTCTCACGACACCCACGGCAGGATATGGGGCAGTGGATATTCTCACACCGCCACTACACGGTTAGTATTTTTATTGTTGTCATCAGGAACATGCTGTCCGTGTTCTGCTTCAGTCTCCCTCTGTCGCCTCTCACGACACCCACGGCAGGATATGGGGCAGTGGATATTCTCACACCGCCACTACACGGTTAGTATTTTTATTGTTGTCATCAGGAACATGCTGGCCGTGTTCTGCTTCAGTCTCCCTCTGCCGCCTCTCACGACACACTGCTACAGTGCACGTTGACTTTACATGTCTTTAAACTACTTTGGTTCTTCAGATTAAGAAAAAGGAATTGACAATTTCATTGGCTGCAAGCATCGAACGTGGGTTGCTCGCATACTATGAGACTGTTAACGAGTGCTTTGCTCTAAGAAATGAAATTTAATTGCAATAAAAAGTAATAAGTAGTAGTTATTTTCATTATTATTTATTATATATATTGGCCTCCCCTATGTTCAGCAGTAGGGTTGTGAAGGTATGCCACAAAGCACCGTCCTGAACCACCTACGTTCAACGACTTCCTGCATATCTTACCAGGTTGTCTCTTCATCTAGCGACGTTGATAGAAACCACTAAGGTTTGTCGACAGTACCTAGTCCTGATCAAACAACCATATTTAATATATAGATAACGGGTTTGCATTTCTAATAATTATGATCATAAACAGCACTAATATTTAAAAAGAAATGTAGTACTACGCGGCAGCTATATAATGGTTGTGGCGCAAATGGGTCGGCTTGAACGAGGCAAGACCACATTATCACAGAATATCAGCATTAAACAGCAGCTTAAGGTTGCTGTGTTTCGTACGGTGCGTGTGGAGAAGCAGTGACACTTTTTACAGGTTACGAGGCATTCCAAGTTCTCAGGTGTGACAATGCATCTTCATTTTTATTCCTTATTGTAGACAAATGCACGTCCATGGGCCACAAAAACTACTTACAATCAGGTGGACTGTGTGCTCGTTTGTCAACCTTATTCTATAAAAAAAGTATGAATGTCGTATGTGTATGTATGTATATATATGTATATGTCTGAATATTCTCTATCACTTCGGCTGGGATTCATATAAATCAAATTTATATATTGAGGTAAAATTTTGAATGTAATTGATAATTTAATCATCGATATTTTTCCGATCGGTGTGTCCCTTGTAGAGAGCTGCAGAGTGGGGATAATTTACATGTATCGTACATTTATATATTATGTAATCAAAATTAATGTCACGGTACCTTTTTAGCTGACTTAACTATGAGAAGTTTATTAATTCGAGTGAACGTTTTTTTGCGTTTACATGATATGCTTGTCAATTGTAAACGTATTTAGATGATTCTTTTTTTAATGAAATAGGATAAACTTTAGCAGTGGTCTCACATTGATTTTAAAACAAAATTTCGGACCTGACGGTGGCAAAATAGAGCATTAAATTTTAAATGTCACTAAATATATGACTTTAAGATAGTGATATTTTTAGTATAGACGTCCTTACTTGGTCGATTGCTGCTAAAACTGGCTAGAACGCGTGGTAGTGGGCGGGTACAAAGTTCATCTGCACAAATCGTGACCCAAAGGTAATTTTTTAGGTTACCAAATCTAATTCTATACTTATAAAGTCCTAGAAAAATATAAGCTCTCTTTATTAGCAAGATTAAATATATAATTAAACAAAAACTGTACAAAAATAGAATAGCCGTTTCTAAAGTTAATTTTGTAAATAATTTGTACGACCTTTAATATTGTATAATTTAATTTAAAAAGATTTTTCGCTGAGTTTCTTGCTGGTTCATCCCAGGAACTTTTTTTCAGAAGAAACAGGCTTAATAATTTATTTGCAAGAAATATGGCAGTTACAGAATTAATAATTTGGTATGGTACAGTCATATTTCGCCAGTGGCATTCAAATATATAATTTTATAATTGTCGGCCTAGTGCTATATAAATGTTCAATGAATATATATGGTTAATTACAATTTCGTGATAAACCTCAGAATAAAATATCACAAGATATATAACATACACATATACATTTCTTTTATACACGTTACGTTACAGACGTTAACAATAAACAAGAAATAATAAAAATTCGATCCAGTTTTAATGCCAAAATAAAATAAAAATAAAAAAATAAAAATATTGTCAAGTTAAGGTGTACATGTCAACAGTTATCAAGTCAAGTCAAGATTATATGAAATATCACTTTGGTCTATAACAATAAAATTCATCTAGGGAATAAAAACAATTTTGAATAAGGCATTGCTTCAATGTTTTTTGAAAAAAAGTTAAATGGCAATTTTCGAATATCACTGGGGATTTTATTATATACTTTAATACACATATTGGGACAATTCTTCTGGTAAAAGACAGTTTTACACTTTCGTAAATTTAATCTTGTAACATCTCTATGCGGAAATGTTTTATCTGTATAATTATCAATACGTCTTTGAAATAAAGGTGGATATTTCTTTACAAACGTTCCAATTTCATACACGTACATGCAACACAGTTTAGTGAGAATTACATGTAACATACCTATATTGGGTGCCGTGTAGTGGCGGTTGAGAATATCCACCATCCCATATCTTCCCGTGGGTGTTGTAAAAGGCGACAGAGGGAGACAGGCAGGAGATGGGCAGCTGCATCTTCCTGATAACAACTGTGACGTAATAAAAAACTGCGGTTGCCAACCCGCTCGCCAAGCGTGGCAACTATGGCAAATACCCCCCAATGAATAAATACACAAACAGACGGCCCCCAGTCCCCGGCGGCCCCGCTATTCCTGGCTACGGTGGCGACCATGGTAACGGCGGGGCAGGGGGTGCTAAGAATCTCCGGTGGAGGTTCGGTTGCCACCTACGACGACTCGACCTGGCAACATATAACGCACGCACCCTGAGGACTGACGAGAAGATACTGGAGCTGGAAGAAGAGGTAGACAAGTTGCGCTGGCATATTATTGGATTATCCGAGGTCCGAAGAGAGGGGGAGGACACGGCAATCCTCGAGTCCGGCAACTTGTTCTATCACCGCGAGGGCGACCATCTGTCCCAAGGAGGTGTCGGATTTATCGTCCACAAGTCTCTCGTCAACAACGTTGTAAAGATTGGGAGTGTGTCGACGAGGGTCGCGTACCTGATACTCAGAATCACCAAACGGTATTCGCTGAAGGTCATTCAGGTTTACGCACCAACCTCGGCACATCCCGATGAGGAGGTGGAGGAAATGTATGAGGATATTTCCAGAGCCATACATTCCTCCAAAACCCACTACACGGTGTTGATGGGAGACTTCAACGCAAAACTAGGCACAAGAGAAAGCGGTGAGCTGAAGGTAGGGACATTTGGAGTAGGGCAACGGAACCGAAGGGGCCAGCAGCTGGCCGACTTTATGGAGAAAGAGGGACTCTTTATGATGAACTCTTTCTTCCAGAAGCGGCCCCACAGGAAGTGGACCTGGTCGAGCTCCGACGGTTCGACAAAAAATGAGATTGACTTCATTATGACGACCAGACGCCAACTGTTCAGTGATGTCTCAGTGATCGCAAGGGTGAAAACTGGCAGCGATCACCGAATGGTTAGAGGCATACTGAACCTAAACGTTAAGTTGGAGAGGTCTCGTCTAATGAAGTCAACGCTTCTTCCCCCTCCTGCTCTAATACAATGTCCCGAAACCATTCAGCTCGAGTTACGTAACCGCTTCCAGTGCCTAGAAGATTGCAGTGGACGATATGAACGACAAGCTCGTGGAAACTGTCCATGCGGTCGGAGCTAAGTTCTGCAAGACCCGCCGCAGAAGAACACAAAAACTCTCCGATCACACTCTTAATCTCATGGCTGTTAGACGGGAGATGAGGCTGCAATCATCAACAGATTTGACAGCATACAGGCAACTGAACAGACAGATCTCCAAATGCATGCGGCGAGACTTACGGCGAGGCGAGGCGATCGAGCGGAACCAGGGCTCCAAAGTCTTTGCCAGAGATCTGTCTGCCAGTAAGAGCCAACTGTCAAAGCTGAAGACTGAGTGTGGCAACATCGTTTCCGGGACACCTGAGATTCTGAGTGAGATTGAGAGGTTCTATGGGCAGCTGTACACATCATCGTTGGAGCCACACGCAAGTGTGAGTAACGATCCAAGAGCAAGTCTTATCCGACACTATTCCGATGATATCCCGGACGTCAGTCTGAGCGAGATTTGAATGGCTCTCCACCATCTTAAAAACGGCAAGGCCCCGGGCGAGGATGGAATTACAGCGGAGCTTC